GCCTCCCCCCCCGCCCCCGCACCCCGCGCCCCGCCCGCTGCGTCTGAGCTCGGTCACGCCGGGACCTGCCTCTTAGCTCGCAATGTTTTGGTGCGGGCAGACACGCAGATCCCTCCGCGGCGGGGGAGTGGGGAACACCGCTCCCCGCTGCGGGGGGCTCCCCCCGCCCCTCGCCGCGCCGCGCCGGGAAGCCTCGAGCTCGGGCTGGCGCCGGCACTGCAGAGCCGCAGCCCCGCGGAGCGGGGAGGGGGAGGCGGGAGCCGGGGACTACTTACTTGTAGTAGTAGACGCGCAGCGATACAGCCTGTCTGACTGCGTGGTACACGTTCGCTCAAGGTGGGGGTGGGGAGGGGGAGATTCTTTCATTTGCATCGCTTCCTAAACCGGCCAATGAGAGCTCGCTTTCGGGAGAGACCTCGCGCTCTAGCCAATCCGCTCGGGGTGTATTTGCATATGCATAATGAGGCAGGGCACGCAGGGCGGGAATTCTTCGGCGCGCCTTTCTGCTCCCCCCTCCCGGCGGCGCGGGGAAAGGTCACCGCTCGCCCCGCAGCCCGGGGGGCGGCAGGAGCCGCCATAAGCTCCGTGCCGGACGCGCCGGGGCGGGGGGCGGGGGTTCTTTGCTGCCCCCCCCCACTCCTGCCTCCCCCCGCGGTAGGTGCTGGCCCAGCTCGTTAGCTGCTTCAAATAAAGCCAAGGTGGAGGCGCCCTTGTGCGAGGAGAGTCCGAGCATGAGCTTTGGACCCGCACCTCCAGCCCGGCTTTCGTGCGCCGGGCTCCCCCTGCCCTAGCACAGCCAGCCGTGTCCCCCCTCCCCCCGCTCTTTGCCGGGCGCTCCGGGAAGCCCGGGGCCGAGTCCGCCGGGCCGCTTCCCCCCGCGACCGACAGAGGGCGCCGAGGCGACAGAAATGCTGCAGTGCAGCACGAGGGAAGCCCGCGCGGCCCCCGCGGGCGGGCAGGCGCGGGGACCCGCCGCCGCCTTTGCGAGACAATCGGCTCATTCCAGTGTGGGGTTCTTTTTTTAAAGGCAGCCCCTCGCCCTTCCCAGGGAGGATCTTCACCCTGTTTCAATGGGATGCTGAAGACAAATCCCAGCCAGGTTTTCCTAGTGCCTTGAGCGAGGCTGCCTAGGTCTTCAGCAATGCTGCCTACGCTGCAGCGTTTCTCAACCTGTGGGTCGGGACCCAAAAGTGCGTCGCGAGAATATATGAGAGGGTCGGGAACAAACTTTTAAAAATAGATTTTCCTTTAAAGGAAACAAACGTGGGAAACCCAGGCTTTTCCCTTGCAGGCGGGCAGAGTCCCAGCCTGCCAGGGGCTGCTTGGGGGGGCCCCCCCATATTTT